AATTCATTGATTGAAAACGTATTTTGTGTTCAAAAAAGTAAAACATTTTGTTTTTTGTTTACATTTAATATAAGTTTTCATTTAATTTTCAATTCAATCGTTGTTTTCAATCATTAAATGAATTTATGTTTCAAAAAGTCTTATTCAAGAAATCACTTCTAAAGACATCCATTTCATCCATAATTGTCTTATCATTTGTTAAACCAATCAATTATCACAAAATGGCTTTCAATGGAGACAAACGTTTGTATCACTCATTGAATTGCATTTGATTTGATCCATACATTCACACCATTAGAGCGTTATCTTCACATGTCTTCGGAGGACAAGAGAAAGCAATACAAGTGTGGAAACAATTACAAGACATTGGACGACATCCTGACGTGGAATCAGTACTCGAGACTCAATCAAATCCACAACAAGTTTTCCACATCTGATTTTGTGTTCAGTAAAGACATCAACGATAAGGTGTCCGTATTTATCGGTGATATCACTGCCCTCGAGATCGACGCCATTGTCAACGCAGCCAATCAACAGCTGAAGGGAGGCGGAGGAGGTCTCGCATTGCCATTATTACTACTCATTAGTTGCCAACACTATAACCACATCTGTATTTCAGTTGACGGCGCCATCCATTCAGCCGCCGGACGACAACTTCTTCAGTCTGAGTGCCAAACATTGGGCGGCTGTCCGACGGGTAGCAGCAAAATGACTGGAGGCTATCAATTGCCCGCTAAATGTGTGTCACTTTGTCTTAATTGTATTGATTTGCACTAAATGTTTGGATGTGTTGACAGATGTGATCCATACTGTGGGACCGGTTGGAGCCAAACCACCATTACTTCAGTCATGTTATAGAAGTGCATTGGATTTGATGTCTTCGTCGGCACTGAAGTCGATAGCGTTTCCGTGTATATCGACCGGAGTGTATGGCTATCCCAATGAAGACGCGGCACACATCGCGTTGAGTACTGTTAGGAAATGGTTGGACTCGAGTCCAGACGCTAAAGACACGCAACGAATCATATTCTGCTTATTCCTCCGAATAGATATTGACATTTACCACAAATTAATGCCAATTTATTTTCCACTTCAGTAACCAATTGTTTAAGACTTACAACAATAAGTCTTCATATAATTAAACCAATCATTGGCTAAAATGTCTTTAATTGTATGCAAACTGTTATAAATTTCATTACTTATTGAAACCTTAATTTTTGTTTCACAGCTTTAAAACCAAATCAAATAAAGACTTAAAATTTATTTTAAATACAATCAATTGTAATGTTTTACCAAAATTATAACCAGAGAGCGAGAGAGAGAGAGCGAGAGAGAGAGAGAGAGAGAGAGATTGTTGTATTCACGCGATTGATGTAAAGCGCGAGAGAATTAACTTTTGAAATGTTCAACGAATGGAATGAATGCTAAAAGTGTTGATTAAATCGATTCTCGTTTCCATTCAAACGGCTATTTGTCTGATAGAAGGCATCCATTCATCCATTTCTCATCCATTTCTCAATCTCTTGTCGACCTTTGAATCAATTGAAACAATGAACACATTTCTGGCTCTCCTTTTCGGTAAGCAATGGGTGACACAAATTGCCATTTCATTCAAAACTAATCCATGTTATGATTCAATCGCTTTGACCGCAGTTTCGTTGACAACGTTTGTGTCACTCAATGGCGAAGACATCCATCTCTGCAAAGCACTGAAGCAAAACAGCGGCAAAATTAGTTTTGCACTCAATATCCCGACCGACACCACAAACAAGAAGTATATCGTCGTTAAGAATCACTATTGGGAAGTGTTGGACAAAGTGGGAGACAAAGCGGATCCTAAAAAGAGACACCGAAGGGACGACGCGGACACTGCGGCCGGAGATATAGCTCCAGCCGACGGCGCGCCCAAAGGTGGGCCCAAAGATGGCCCCAAAGACGCGTCCAAACCGACCGACACTAAAGCCGCCGCCGGTCCGAAAGCTAATGAAACGGCCGCCGCTTCCGTTGCTCTCAAGGATATTATGGGCAAAGACTCTGATTGGCTGAACGGAGATTTTGGCATTGGATTTGGGATCAGATACCCGGACGCCAATGATAAGGCTGTTTGGACTAAAGATGTGATCGGAATGATAAGCGTAAGCGTGTATTGATTACTGGTTTTACTTTTTGACTCAAACTGTGTTTATAGACGGACTTGTCTTCAGTCAAATGGGGGGAGTATTTGCTGACATTGACTGAACTGAAACCCGCCAAAAGTGATACCTTTAAAGTGACGTTCACTGGCTTTAAACCGGAGATGGCTTTCACCAGTTATGCCCGACGAGACAGTCAGAGCCTTATGCTAATGGAACAGACCATGAGTAACAACAAGTGGAAGGCCCGGTTCCAAGAGTACACTATGGATCCGACCGCCAATAACTGGATTCGGTAAGCCATCCATTATTAAACTTAACTGTAAACCCATTGTTTGACCATAACTTCAATGCAAACCCAGTGTTAAGGACCAGAACATGAATCGCTGGAAGAACGACTCGGCAGATCCCATGGATATGCTTACGTCTGCGCGTGCGGTGCTGTCTCTAGCCCTTCAAGATGTGGCCACCAATTACTACATCAAAGGCGCGTTCAATACTTACGTCAAATCAAGCGGTTTCGAGGAAAACGGAACTATTGTTTTGGTCGAGAATTGCATTGAAAGCGCGTCTAAGTATCCGTGTCCGGGACCCGTCTCTTACCAGACCTGCACTGTTCGCGATTTCGATCCCTACCCCACGAAGACAACCGTACGAAACCATTGCCGTTGTAAACAATGACTCATTTGTGTATTTTACCCATTAGTGTAAACGCGATGATCTCAAACCGCTCTTTGACTGCTCCAAGTGGAAGGAAGACGTGCCCACAACACCCGGAGCTGTGCGGGCGGCCGACGTATCAAACGCCACAGAGGGAGTCGACACAAGTGCGGCCCCAACCGAACCCAAGAGCGAAGAGAAGAAAGGCAGCGGAACTACGATTTTGATTATTGTTATTATAATAATCATTATAATAATAATTCTGATTCTTCTCGCCTTCTTCTGCATGAAAAGTAGCACAAAATCAGAAGACAAATCTGGCGGTAAGTGAACCCCAAAAAGTCTTTTTTAGATTTATTAAAAATACAACATTTGTCTACTTTCAGGCGGTGGACCGAAAGCGGGTGCCGTTTCTGCGAAGCCTTCGAAGGCGGGCTCGACCACAGGCGGCCCTAAATGTAAGTATTTTTATTGTTTTACTATTTTAACTAAGATTTGTTCACTTCTTCAGCATCTATGGGCTCAACGACATCAAAGATGAGCGTCCGATCAAAAGTGGCCTAAACTTCCAATTTCTATCAAATTCTTCTCTCTTTTTATTTTGAATTTATGTAAATTTCAAATATTTGTCTAAATTCTCTTCAATTTGTTATATTTTAAGTGAACTATTATTACAATTTGAAGTTTTTATTATTGTTTTTAATAAAACTAAAACTAAACATATTTTTTGAATATATTTTGATCTAAAATGTTGAGATCAATAGTTAAAAAACCAGTTAATAAATGAATAATTTAATGAAACATTACTCAATGAAGTTCTCTGGTAATGGCATATCCAACGAGTGGTAAATCCTTGAGAAGTCGTTGAACTCTTTGGAAGTAAGTTAAGGACAAATAGTTCAGTGTTGGGGTAAAGTGGGCTGACACTAGTCTTTCGTTTTCCTGTTTAAGTTCACGTTTCTATTCTAATGACACCTAAAAACTACAACTTCTCCGATGGCATCAACTTTTAAGACTTGTAAACAATGTTTAATTGCATTGAGATTTGGAATCCGTCTCTCATTTGGGCAAACGATTGACTGAATGCTCTAAATGTTTATCTCATCCCAAAGACCCCATCAATTGAGAA